AAAACACACATTGGCAAATTTCAATTTTCAATTATTTTTTCAATAAAATCTGAGTATATATACTCTTATCGAGACCTATTATTTTTAAATTATTTTTAAAATAATTCCATAAATTGGGGTAAAAACAAAAACATATTCCACCTGTATGAGCGACAGTGTATAATTATTACTAGATATATTTAACCATTAAAGACATTCTAATGCACTCGGGGGCAGGAGCGTATCGAAGAAAATACCCCGAATCAGCTGATTCAAATCTACCAAGTATTCAAAACGTACCCTAGATACCTCTTTGACCCATTTATTTTGGATTTGTTTGAATTTACTCTCGAAATTCAATATCAAGGCAACAATTACATTGGGGTCTTGGTCCTGCTCCTCAATGTTAAATTATGATTTTCAAATGACACATTTGGCCTACCTAATAATAATGATGTTCCTTATGTTCTATTACTTTATCAATCCCCATGACTTTTTTTAAAGAATGTAACCCGGGAACGTATGGAGTTCATTGTTTGCAAGAGTGCCATTGCTCTCCACGTAACTTCTGCACCAAGGATACAGGAGAATGCATTGATGGGACTGTGTGTCAAGGAGGCTGGACTGGTGTCAACTGTCAAAGTATTTTTTTTTCTTTCGAATAGTCAGTTTTCATAAGAGTTTCTTTTTGTTGTTGATTTGTTTAATATACAATATTATCACATAATAAACATATCACGATTTAAGAGACAAAATCCATTTATTGCATTTGTCAAAGCAAAAGGTAAAAAACACATAAACACGTTTTTTGATTTTCGTTTTTGCTTTTGAGGCGCACTTTTATCAAACATCCCAACTTTCCCAATCTCATATATTGGCATTTCAAGATGTTCCTGGAATAGATGTTTCAGTCTACGAACTCAACGTCACGTCAGTTTCCACAGATGTCTCCAAACAACTTTCTAACTTGGAATATTACGCAACTTATATTAGATCACCATCATATGTGTTTGTACAAAGTACAAAGACTTTGTTAAATTCAACTTTCGTTCAATTTTGTGTATACCCAAAACACATTTACTTAATTTGCAAATGACAAGTTCCGTTTACCTGTATATTTCAAACTTATTTCCAGAACCCGCATGTGTAGGAGCCCTACAAATGTCACCTTCAACCACACAAATTGAAGTCAGCTGGGAACTGTCATCCAGCCTATGCTCCGCTGACTACTATATCATACGTTATAGTCTCTATCAGAAGCTTGCCTGCTCTTCACCAGAAACCACCCCAACAGAGTTTGAATTGAACACCAACGTCACACAATACAATCTAGTGGGGTTGGAGCCTTACTCGCGATACCAGATCACAGTTACAGCTGTAAATGGTGCTGGACAGAGTGAACCCACGATCGGCTATTCAGATACCAGGCCAGGACGTGAGTAATGAACTAATAAGCAAAATACCCGTTCCCCATAACGTTTTCAAGACAAGGTGATATATTTTGTTATCCGTGTAATGATTATGAAAATTGGATATAATAAACAGAAACAAAGTTGTGACTGGTCCAAAGCTCGTCACGTGATATCGATTGCGAGGATCGTAATAATCCTTTTATCACTCCCGGTTAGCAATTCGCAAGGGAGAATTTTCACTCGTGATCACAATTCCCCTCGGCGCTGTGCGCTTTTTAAACATACAACCCCTTTAAAAAAATGTTAACTCCTTTCGGTAGTCCAAAAATGTTACACCCTACCAGTCAATATCTGCTTTAGATTACTTTTATATAACATACGTAAGGTGTCAAAATATAATTTTCATGACCTTTGCTTTATGCAAAATTATGAATGGTACAGTTTGATTGCGATGTATGTTCCCTTCTACCTTCACCCTAGCCTTACTACGTTAACGAATAACACGTCAAGTTTGAACAAATTTAGGTATGTTCTCTCATATTTCTGATTCACTTTAGCACCATCCAACATTACAAATGTTAGGATTAATCCAGAAAGGACTTCTCCAACACGATTAGGATTCACCTGGCAACCTCTCAACTGTAGAAATGTGAATGGAGTGATCCGGTACTACTATCTAAGAATCTACAAGGATGGTGATAGAACTAAGGCATCGGTTGGGAGGACATACTTGTATGATGACTTTTCATACTCATCAGTAGAGTTCATTGGTCTTGAGCCATGTACGATGTATGAATTGTATATCTATGCTGTCAACCGTGACGTGTCTCCTGGAAATAATTCGTATGCTATCGGTGTAACAGGAGTTATTTGTAAGTGTCGAATAGTACAGAGATAATTAATGTTTTAATCCCGCTTATGATGTCAGATTGCCTTGTTATATTGACGAACTTCAATTAAAGGAATTTCGTTGCAAAGCTGCATAGTTAAAGATAAAGACCAGTTATGGTCATGCAATTGCATTGTGAAATAAACGTTGTGGAATCGATCAGAAAAGGTTGATCATCTAGCATATAAGTATTGGTGTGTACTGCAAGGTTCTGGAATCATCAAAATAATAAGATATTTGGCCGAGTCTTGGTTAAGTTACAAGCACCGCACATAAAAAGATGTATATGGGACTACGCGACACGTGCGCGACACGTGCGCGACACGTGCGCGATATCTATCAGGGCCAAATAGATATAATAATTTACCAAATATATCAATTATTAGGCGATTTCTTTGCAAAATTTGTATCATCACGTATTAGTCAAAACTTATTCTAGCACATGATTGTTAAAAAGAGCTTCCATTTCATTTTTTGAGAGAGGGGCGTTTCCAAAACTGATTTTTACCTTTAGGTAATATTTGTGGGAGAGATCCACATTCTTAGCGATACCAAAGTTTCCTTGACTTTATATGTCAATAGTTATTGAGACAATAAAGGATTTTCAGGTAGAGATAACTATATTTCCCAGTTACAAAGTGTCGTTTTTACAATTGTACATTTTCTCTCCATTTTAGTTATTACGTTTTATTAGGCGAATTAAGATTCGTAACGTATTCATAAAGAATTTCAAACATGAACATAATAGTATGGGGCGGGGATTCTTAACTGAATACGTAAGCCTCTTTTTATTCAGTATTTACATACGTCATGCAATATATGCTGTATTAATGATAATTATAATTGACTGTGGTTCAGATATGGACCCTGTATTGATTATAGATCTTACAGTTATCAAAAATAGAAAAGGGTCCTGATGAAATTATAAATATAAACATATAATATCTGTTTCTTGTAAACACTTGTGTCCATCGCAGTATGATGCTAAAGGCGCCCCAATATATAATCTAGCTTTGGGCAGGCTTCCAATTCGTATGCTCACTGCAATCAAGGATACCTGTCTGTTGGATAGAAAGAAAAGAAAACATGTTCAATATTTACACAGATAGAAATATATTTTGCTTCATCTTTAGGTAGACAAAATTAAGCTCCCAAATCCATGAAAATGTAATGAGACGTTGTTGCAAGACTGACAGGCGGTTCTCCGTGTTATGGACATTGGTTGGTGTAATATAACCTTCTAGAATACAAACTGCTATCCTGAAATATACGATATTTCGCAAGATTACAAATTAAAAATATTCTCTCTATTTGTGTTGAATATAGTCACAAGTGCATCCGCTTATGCAACTGGGAATCAACCCAGTCTGACAGTTCAGTGGAGGGTTCCGTCTCAATGCAATGTGGATTACTACAGGCTATCGTATCAGCTCATCTCACATAAGGCATGTCAAGATGTTCCTATAATAGATGCTCCAGTCGACGAACTCAACTTCACGTCAGTTTCCACAGATGTCTCCAAAAACCTTTCAAACTTGGAATATTATGCAACTTATAGCATCTCCATCATAGCTGTGATTACGACAGCGGAGAGCTTACCCATCAATATTATTGGAGACACACGAGGTGGAGGTATATAAACAATCATGCTAATACTAGCGTTGCCGAATCTACGGGGGAGAGACGGGAGGGGGCATATGGCGTGCGTGCTCCTGGTGGCACTTGAAGGGAGCGCAAACAAAAACCGAATAAGAGAAAGAGAAAGGGTATAAAGCGAAGAAAAATATGATTATAATGTAAACCCTAAACTTGCAGAATGAATAGCTGTATAATTTCTTTTTTAAATGTAGGTATTAAATGCGAAAGTTTCTGAAGCTTGGTCGCTTTGCTCATCGCGTATGTTCCTTCAGGTTCGGAATTGTCGCGCCCCAATATAAAACATATTAATGCAACTGCCTTTGCTTGCTCCCTTTTTTGTATGATTTTCATCAGCCTCCTGTTCAATATATTAGACAAAGGAAAAATGCAAAACCGTATAAAGCGATTTGATATTGTCCAACATTTGAAAGAAATCTGAAATTTTCCGGGTTCTTTAAAACCATATTCCCCAGGTACGCCATGGAATACTAGATTTTCTAATGCATGACATGACAAGAAAGTCCGTTTAATAAACCATGTATCGAAACATTAGTTTGTCCTGGTGTTAAAGTCTCCCCTCTGTGGTGTCCTGTAGGCCCGGGAAGACAAAGGGCCTACTCCTTTTGTTGCCATATTGGTTATAACGGAGAGCCTTAAATGACCATTACGATGAGATTCTAAATTATAATAATGATAAAATAATATATATGGATATTTATATAGCGCCGGTATCCGCCAGGCTCTGACGGTCATGGCGCTGTACATATTACACTAAAATTAAGTAAATTAAAATAACACACATTATTACGCTTTATTGAAATAATTAAATAGCACTGTCTAGAAAGAGATGGGTTTTTAGATCAACTTTTAAGTCATGGACGGCAGTTAAGTTACGAATACTAATTGGCAGAGAAATATTGTGACTTGACGTTACTAACAAGTCGCCTTCTCGCTGAACGTTTATGCATCCTTAACATAAGGCGCCTCTTGGCGAAAGCAATCCTTTTATTGTACACAAACAAACATTGAATTGAATTTCGTTCAAGCCTTTTCTCTTTTAAATGCATTTTTTATTTTTTATTTTTATAAATCATGAATTTCTCCTTGATTTGAAAAAGACGAATTTCCGGTGGGTGACAACGAAACAAGTGCAAATTCAACAGGAAGATGTCCATTCAACACTTCTCAAGGTTGGTTTTCATTGGCTTTCATTTTAATTCCAGGAAGTAGACGGGGAATTAAGTTAAGTAGAACGACTAATATGACATTTTCCCTAAAGTTTTTTTTGTTCAGATATGGCGCAGTAAACCGCCGCAAAAAAGCCCCCAAACTGTTTCTTGAATACAAATGAATTTAAGGGAGGCACACGTAGAAAATATTAACAGAAACACTAAGCCCCCAGCCCTCCGACCCAATTAATATTCTAGATCCGCGCATGTTGTTGTATAGTTCCAGAATCATGAATTACTTGAGAGAATTTCAATCAGAGACAGTACTTCTTTACTTGATTGATGTCTCCTCGTTTCTTCGTAATAATATTTTTTTTGCCAGTGTTCTTTTGACATATATATATATGTATATATTTTGTTTCATATCGAACAGCCAATGAACCCACTGGACGGGCTCTGTGTATCGGCGATAGTAGTAACCAGAGCCAATGGCAACACGTGGATAATTGCGGACCATTTACAAATGTCACAGATACTCTCACCAAAATTGCACAGGTTTTTGGAATTTTCTTTTAAAATTTGATCATTGAAAAGAGGCTTTTTATAATCTTCATACACTATGTAAAGCAATTGTGTATAGGTACCGCTTATATCTCTAACCTGAAAACAGTTTTTTTGTTTTAATGGATAAATATATTCACTTCATGTTCCCTTCTTAAAGGTAAAGACCAGTATTGGAAACGCCCCAATTTCAAAAAAATGAAATGGAAGCTCTTATTACCAATCATGTGAAAGAATATGTTTTGACTACTACATGATGATTACAATTTTGCCGGGAAACAGCCTACTAATTGATATATTTGGTAAATTAGTTTATCTACATGGTCTGTGAGAGATAAACGCACGTGTCGCGCACGTGTGCGTAAAGTCCCATATACATCTTTCTGTGTACAGTGCTTGTAACTTTACGAAGACTGGGCCATATTTCTTATCATTTTGATGATTCTAGAACCTTGCAGTACACACCAATACTTATACGCTAGATGATCAACCTTTTCTGATCGATTCCACAACGTTTCTTTCACAATGCAATCGCATGACCATAACTGGCCCTTACCTTTAATCAATTTGTTTGTGTTAGTATACGCCAATTGTTCATTTGTAAACTATTAAATCATGGATATTAGGTAATGCATATCCCAGTTGATCAATTCTGCTGATTGTTTTAATGTCATTCCATTCACAAAATGTTGGATGATTTATAGTCGAGGCGGCAACATATTCACTGACATATGCATTGACAAAACTTAAATAAGAGCAATTACAAAAGGCCTACTCATCTCAACTCTTTAACTCTTGATAATGCATTAAAAACAGAAAAATAGGTTGAAAAACTAGAGTTCAACCATTCGATTGCATTTATAAAATCCTTTAAAAACACTAGGCGATCATAACCGCCAAATTCACTCGGAAATTTATCTTCCGGTTCATGAGTTGTGAAATTAGATATTATGGGACACTGTTTTTGTAATAATTAAGATGGTATACGGATAATGAACCTAGCATATATCATTTCAATATCAATAAGGGAAACATGTCCGCAACTTTTGTAATACCTTAATGAGGCAAAGTAGATCATTTAAAATGTACATGCTGTAAGATTTTCCCCTCAAATTTTAGGTAATCGTAAGTGAAGAAAACGCAGGTGAAGTGAGCCAGCAAGTATCATCTGTTACTTCCAACATCGAAGATATCACATCAGACGACATCACGTTTGTGGCAGAGATAACATCACAAATTGTGCAGCAAAATCTTACAAGTAAAGAGGTATTCTGCAAGTTGACTAATCCTATTAAACATGAAGTTGCGATGGATTTTATCTCGTTCCGATGATTATCTAAAGGGAAGAAAAAATTGGAGTCTTCCCTCCGATTCATGTAAAATATTTTCATAAAATGTGAAAGAAGTAAACCCCATAACCGTTTGTTTTACAATATTGGAAGCCTTGAAGCTTAAGTAATGTGAATGAAGAATTTACCAGAGCCTTACCCTGTATCTGGCTCTTTTGGGAAATTTAGAATAATATTTTATTCGTTTTGTCCCTGTCCTTTCATATCTGTCTGACCCCTTGGCGGTTGCTCCTTCCAGGGGTTGCGTAACAGCGTTAAAATAACAACTGTCATATTATATAATACACTTTCGTCATTCATATTTCCGAGATTTGTCAACATTCCACTGCTATAGTTTTTAATCGTGATTAATTTGTCAGGTAACAAAGTCTATAACGAGAATTGCCAGCAATATAGCTCAGGTAGAAACAGAGGAACTTGTAGCCGCTGAGGAAGACGGTGGGGCAATAAGTAAATTTGTCCAGGCTTTTGAGGAACAAATCAGTCGTGTTGAAGTTGCCGATGGTGAGATGCTCATCATTCAGCAGCCAAATGTAGCAGTACAGGTGATTTTAAATTACATTATAGACTTTGAACAAATAATTTGGTTTAACCAGAACTCTAAAAATACAGAATCATGTTATAATTTATGTAATTGTTTGCATGGAGTTTCAAGAAAAACAAACAAATTGACACTGCCGTTCATCCATTTGTAGTCTCGTTCAATCCGACAAGGTGCAACACTCCCACCATTTTTCTTTATAGTTTAAAAAAAGATCTACCAAAACATCACCATTATTTGTGCATTTATGTGTGGGAATAGTGACGGGACACATCAGATTTTTAGAGAAAATCACTTTAAACAATCTGCATTATACACAAAGTACTTCAGAAGATGGATCATACGTAAATTAGAGGGAATTATTTATCCAATTCAAATAGAAACGTATTTAAATCATTTTTGAAAACCCAACTGACCTGCTACTACGAATATGTAAAGGAGAATATTCCATAGCGAAGGATTCCTTTCAGTGTACAAAAGAGACATATTTTGTTAGTCACCTGGTCATGGAAACAGGCCATTGTTTAATGATTTGTTTGACCTGTTCTTGTTTTGTATTAAAGGCAGAGCCATGGGTAAATGAAATTGAAAACAAATCAAGTATTGAAGTTTTATTTGACATAACAGGTCCAGAGTGTACCTGCTGAAGACATCATGCGTGGTATCGTGCTTTCGCTAGCTGGATCCAGTCTTTCAGACCTGACCAAGTCCAATATTACCATCAATGCTCCGACCCAAGATGACCGCAATGACATCATCGCTCAGGTCAACATTCCACCTTCACTCTCAGGATCGCCATCAAATGGCAGTGGTGAATACGTCCGGGTCAGCTTCTATGTATTTTCGACTCCTGCTCTGTTCATTTCTAAGTCATTGCGCACAATCAGTGCAGATAATGAAGGCTTCAATCGATCGGCTAACTCGCCATTGATTTCTCTCAGTATTGGTCAAGGGAAAGTAGAAGCCTTGACCGAATTCATCAATTTTACCTTCACTACACTAAAGGTAAGACCTTTATCAATGACATGAAATGGAAGGTGTTTCTTCATTATACGTACTTGTAATCTGCCTTTAGCAGTATTTATAGATAATACAATGTCTGCATGAACATGTATTCCGAGCCATTTTCTTTCTGTTTTAACCGCTGTGTTTGACACGCTCCTAAATGGGCTTTTAAAGCCACACTGTCCTACCGACTTGTAGCTATACTTGCTCCCTTTATAATTATAGAAAACAATGCTTAATCGGTAACCATTCGTCCCCCACGATCCTCTTTTCCTTATGTTAATTGGGAGGTGAGTTGATCTTGTCCAGTGATCTCGCAGAGGGGGTGGGGTCTAATCCCTCCTATAAACTGGTACAGATAAGCTTTAAACTATACCAATCAAAGTTATTGATCATTCTTAATTATGTCAAGCTTTATCTAACCAATTTGATTCTCGGTCTATGGATTCTTTTTTTTTGTTGCTGTTGTATAGTCTGGATACGTGAATCCCATTTGTTCGTTCTGGGATGAGGAGGAGGAAGATTGGTCCCAAGATGGTTGTGTTCTTGTTTCTGGATTCGCATCATCTGATGAGCGCTATGACGAGGAGGGCGTGCGCTGTGCGTGTAATCATCTTACCAACTTCGCTGTTATAATGGTCAGTGAAAATCAATTTGGCAGTTATTATATCACTTGCACCGGTCAACTACTCCCCGGACAATTTCCCCCGGACAACATTACCCGACTCACTAAACGCAGTTGGTTACTAGAGCTATAAGCAGTATATATTACGCCAGCGGTAATGCCAATGGATACAGCCCCTAGTTTTTTTTCCAGACTGGTGAAAAATACTACGCGTACCAGGTATTTGGGGACGTGTGGTCATTATTCGACCTCGAAAAGTAACCCTTTTACTTCCGAAAAAATATAGTATAATATAGTAACCCTTAGTTGGTCTTCAATTGGGTTTGAATCATAATCTCTTGAGATCAAATAACATTTGAAGCTATAGACTCTTGTGTAAAAAATTGTAAAATGATATCCTTTTCTTTTGTCCATCAGTAATATGAATTTTTACCCTATTCATAAAACCCCCCCCCCCAAAAAAAAAAAAAAAAAAAATCTCAGTTTTCAAATTAACGCCACAGAGACTTTATGAGAGCTAATTTCAAATATTCAGTTTCATTTGAGCATTAGCAGAAGATGTTTTAGTTAGGGCTCAAATTAATTTGATGTTACAGGATATCCATAGACAGGAGGATTCATTAATCGAGGCATACAACATCCTGACTTACATTGGATGCTGTATTTCTATCTTCAGTCTTCTTGTCACATTGGCGACCTACCTGTGGAACAAGTGAGCTCATTAAAAAAAATGTGCAATTATTATGTAATCATTCTCTGGCCATTCTATCTTCGATTTTAGTTGGAAGCTTTTTAACAAAGAATGTAAACCTTGACCATGAAAGAGAATAATTTTTAGAATTTATTAAATAATCATGCAAATTTAAATATGCCCCCTTTGTATACAAATTATCTCGTAATCGAAATATTTGTGAGATACGTGTAAATTTGCAGCACAGTTATGTTTGGTATAATTTCTGTTTGAACAAGCAGGGCTGGTGCGAACTATTGCCATTAATGTACAGTTCGTGAAAGAAAGGGGAAGAGAGGGGGAGGAGTGGAAGAAGAAGAAGATGAAGAGGAAGAAGAAGAAGAAGATGAAGAGGAAGAAGAGGAAGAAGAAGAAGAAGAAGAAGAAGAAGAAGGAGAAGAAGAAGAAGAAGGAGAAGAAGAAGAAGAAGAAGAAGGAGAAGAAGAAGAAGAAGAAGAAGAGACACAGCCATAATATGATTACTTGCTCTGTAACAGTGGTGTAAGGGTTGTGCGACGAGGGTAATAAATAGGTTACCATATTCATTTGTTAATATCATATCAATATGACATATTGATATTCTATTAACGTCGTAGATCAAATCCTCTGCTTCATGGTGTGGAGTTTTTATACAATAGGAATCACATTCATTTCGAACAGCTTTGGCTTACATATTTTTCTAAATTGCCTTCGTCGTGAATAGTAACAACCGAATTGATTTTATTCAACACGAGTCACCATTCTGAGGGTTTGTGCCCAGTAGTAGAAGAGATATACAAGTAGAGCAAAATCACATAATCTCCTTCATTTCACACACGTTTTCCACCTATTTTTTCTTTTTTGTTCTTGTTTGTGACCTTTTTATTCTTCTGTGTTGCTGATAAAGTGATGGTAACCCAGGTCGAAATTCCAGTTGGTACCAGTTGAAACCAGTAAGGATTTCCAACTGGTATCTACTGGTTTGAACTGGTCTCAACTGGTCTCAACTGGTCTCAACTGGTACTAGTTGATACCAGTTGATACAATTTGGAAACCAGTAGAAATACCAGTTGACATCTGAGACCAGTTGATATTACCAGTTGATTTACCAGTTGCTTTACCAGTTGAAAACTAGTAGATGATTACCAGTTGATTTACCAGTTGAAAACCAGTATATTACCAGTTGATTTACCAGTTGGAAACCAGTAGATGATTACCAGTTAATTTCCCACTTGAAAACCAGTAGATGAGTACCAGTTGATTTACCAGTTGAAAACCAGTATATTATTACCAGTATTTACCAGTTGAAAACCAGTACGATTACCAGTTGATTTACCAGTTGAAAACCAGTACGATTACCAGTTGATTTACCAGTTGAAAACCAGTAGATGATTACCAGTTGAAAACCAGTAGATGATTACCAGTTGATTTACCAGTTGAAAACCAGTACGATTACCAGTTGATTTACCAGTTGAAAACCAGTACGATTACCAGTTGATTTACCAGTTGAAAACCAGTACGATTACCAGTTGATTTACCAGTTGAAAAACCAGTTCAATGTATCTTATGCATATTCATGATTAATTCGCATGTTTTCACAGAAAATATAATTATCATGATCTGTAAAGCAAATGGGACAATGCACATAAATTTTGTGATTTACATTTTCATCGTTAATTATTGACAAATATATTACACATGTCTGATCATGTTTTTCATCTAATTCAATACGTAAAATTAGATATATCGATATATGTAATTACTAACCAGAAATAAAGTGTACTATAAATTTGTATATATATGCATGCACAAACTAAAATTGTCAACTCACATAATACACATATGTAATCTACTTCAAGTGATCATTGTGATGGAGTAATTGCAAGGGTTAGTATATGTGGTCAAGTTGGTGGCCAGATGCTAATAATGATCATTGATTATCAGTTGATTGATTACTGGAAAATCATCTGAAAAATCAACTGGTAATTGAACTGGAAATTCTACTGGTAAATCAACTGGTAAATCAACTGGTAATTGAACTGGTAAATCAACTGGTATTTGAACTGGTAAATCAACTGGTCCCAGATAGCGTTGTTTCAATTTCCATATTAAAAACCAGTTGAACCTACTGGTTTCAACTGGTACCAGTTGACTTACTGGTTTTAACTGGTACCAGTTGCCTACTGGTTTCAACTGGAATTCCGACCTGGGAATCTTGTACATGCATGGTACAGTGTTGCTTCGATGCTTTCCTACTCTTATTTTAATGTTACAATCTTGATAGGGATTTGAGGACCAAACAGACTAACCAGATCTTCATCTGTCTGTGCCTGACCTTGCTGTGTCTCTACACGACATTTCTCATCATGATCTCTCTGGATTCTACCAGAGATTATCGTGAGGTCCAAGCTGGACCATGTGGGTTCCTGACGGCCCTAGTTCACTACTTCGTTTTGTCCTCCATTGCATGGATGGGGGTGGAAGGGTACAATACCTACCTCATCCTTGTGAAGATCTTTAACACCTACATCCAGAATTTCATGATCAAGGCCTTTTTAGCTGCATGGGGTAGGGTATTTGTTTCCTTAACATTTTTTTTCTAGAAATAGTGCGTGCTTATGACATGAAGTGTCTGTTTTCTTCTTCACATATAGAAACCCTCGACCAACTTGTTTGAGCTTATACATGTAGGTACTGAAAGTATCCATAAAAAAAATAGTTTGGCAAGGTGCGACAACCTGCTCTGCTTTGATCAACCTTCTTCAATCAAAATAATGATGAACGGGCGATCAAAGGAAATTCTTTTTTATATCGATATAACAAAGGAAATTTGTATTTACCTGTTTTGTAATGAACACAACTAATTAAAAAAATCTAGCAGGATATAACTTTAATTTCGCCATGCTAACTGAATGGTCATTAATTATGGAAAGATCACATTACGACTGACTTTATAGTCCAACAGGCATCAACTAATAATGCATATGAATTAGTCAGTTTTGCCATCTATGTGTAAATTCTTCATTATTATTAAACGGCTCTCGGCATGGCATGTATTGTATACAGAGAAGACCCTAGACCTCAAAGAGTATAATAATCGCGATATCTAATTCTTGACACAAATAATAATAGTGTCACCATAACCGTGGGTAAAATCTGTGAGCTGGACAGCTCAACGATATCATGAGTAGACATTTTGAAGAAACTAGGAAAGGAAAGTTAGGCCCATGTCCTATGTAGCCATATAATGAATGACTTAAGTTTTTTTTCTTCTCATACACGTATGTCATTTCAGGAATTCCTGCTTTCATCGTGGTTCTTACCGGAGCTATTGCTAGAGGCTCTTATGCTCATGATGATCTGTAAGTGGTAATACATAAAAGTTGAGTTAGATTATTGGATTGCATAGCATAATACCTAATGATCTTCAAATGTCAGATTTAGCCACAATCACGTTTCTGTATTAAATTTAATCTACTTTGTAGGCATTTGGCATTTTGGTATCTCATGTACCTATTAAAGTATCACTTTCGCGGGTATGTTGTGTGATCCAAGCTCTAGAAAGGCCACCAACTTTAATACAGTGACCACACATACTAAAATCTCAGATATTGTTGGTAATGGATGGGGCAACAAAGCTTGGACTTGCCAAACAAAAAAAAAAAAAAACAAAAAATAGTTCAGTTCTTGTATAGCGCATACAACGTTAAGAAATAGCATCTCTATGCGCTTCCAAACTCCAAACAGCTTTGGAAATTATTACCCTATCATCCTAATGGGAAATAATGAATAATGACAATTCTTCAGTTGAATTTTTTTAAGGACCATGGACATTTCGTTAAACTATCACTATGATAGTCAGTACTGATTGATTTAATTTAGTCACTTTACAAAATGCAAATTTACTATCAACAGATGCTTTCTACAATTCTGGGCTCAAATCGGTGGTCTCCTGATTCCCATGGCCATCATCCTCCTCATCAACATTGTCATCTTCATTCTGGTGGTTCGACAGTTGCTCCGGTCAGCCAACATCACTGGTCGGGTGAAAAGAGAGGCTAAGGTAGAACGTCGAGAGACTATCGAACGCGTCCAGAACGCGATCTGCATCTTGCTCCTGCTCGGTCTGACCTGGGTCACTGGATATCTTCTCTTGATTCCGTCATTCAGTCAGGTAAAGCCAACTAGCTTTAAGAATAACTCCTGTGTGGTATACGTCTCTTCTAAGAAATATCTTGAAAGCTCAGTTATGATAATTAAACACACCAGCAATACCTCTTTAGATGTTTAGTATCTGAAGAATTTGAGAGAGAATGCCATATACCTAATCATTATTTCTGAAACATTTGCGTTTAACAGGTGGCTCAGCCAATCTTCGTCGTCCTGAACTCCTTCCAAGGATTGTTCATCTTTCTACTCTACTGCGTCCGGAAGCCTCACATCCGTAAGAAATGGGGGCTAACTTGTTTCGACAAGTTGCTAAAGAACGGAGCAAGCACTTCCAGCGGTGTGGTGAGCTCGACGGCGTCATCCTCGTTAGATGGCATGGTAAGCAAATTGCGCCCAGGAGCTTCGGGTAATTACTTGCTGCCTACCAAAGCCGACAATCCCAATCCTATGTGTATGTTCAATCCGACCTATGATATCAGCCAGATTGAGGAAGGGGCCACACCACCTATACATAAAGATATCCAATGTTTCACCGAGGAACAGAAAAGGGACACAGATCGTGATGCAACAATCACTGATGTCGTGACGGTAAGTCTCCGGCCACTCAAGTCATCTGTCAGAGGTGATGATGTTTCATCCACCACGATTGCTGACAACGATGATTTTGCTTCCACCAACAATGATGCTCCTGTTAGTCTCCCTAAGGATGCCGCGGATGGCACCATGCACAACGAGAGAAGTGATGATGTTGCTTCTGCAACAAGTGATCAAGCCGTCAATCTTCAAATGGATGCAACAGACGTCAGCAAAGGAAATTAGAGCAGTATCATAGATTCCATTGGCACCACCAATTTACAACGGCCACTGGCTCAGTTGAGATTTTGACTATAGCGATGCATTCATTTTTACTGATTAAAACAAATATGCTTAACCATGTAAGCCACAAGAAGGTCTTATGTGAGAGTATGATCTTGTTTTAGCATACAAGGCAGGGAAGGGGGTATGGTGGGCATCAGCTGAATCCACTCTTTCTCCGAGCATATGGCAATAACCAATATTCCGTCACCACATACTCGGGAAATACGTAATGTAATAGTACTAGTAGAATGGTTTTTATTAGACAACTTCAAAATGGTAGCCCTAAAGCTAAATTACATTGCAAGTTTTACAAGTATTAAAAAGCATTTCAACAAAACTTAGATATAGACAAGTACACATAATACACAGTCGGGTAGATCATAACTTATTACTTGTTCCCTACTTGCAAACAAATAGAACAGATTCGGCATTATTATTATTTCTGTAATCATTGCTAAGTGAGGAATATTCATATTTTAAAAAGAAATTGAGGCTGATTAATTGAGTTATAACAAGTAAGTACTGAAGATTTGTTTAAAAATTTCTAACCGTAATGCACATTGAATGTCTATAAAGCTACACAATATATACGGATTTATCATAGGCACATTATTAAACAATTACCGAAAGGGAGAGATCAGGTCAGGGAGAGAACGATGTAGAGAGAGAGAATTAAGTTAGAAAGAAAAACAGGAATACATGCGGAAGATGGGAGAGGGAGAGAGAGATAGGGAGGGAGTGGAATGAGAAGAATGGAACAGTTGGAACTGTGAAGACATGGAGGAGAGGAATGATGATGAAAGTAAAACGACAAAGAGAAAGCGATTAGAAAGAAATTACAAAGTAAATTACAAAGTAATTTGTTATATCTATATTTTATTTTATTGACGAAATTATATATCTTCATTTATTATGGTAGTTTATCGAAGTATTAATGACCATATACATTTGTTTTGATGATACTTTGTGGTGTATTACTCAGAGAAGAGGTCTTTTTATTTTGGGGGAAAATATGTTTTGTTTTGTTTGTTTTTATTTCTGCATTTTCAAAATAGAACATAATCATATACATAAAGTAACAAATATTTCTTCATTTTACATAATTATACATTGTTTAAGTACATTAAATAAGATGCATACAAACACAAATACAATTTCAATGAAAAAAAATAAGATAAATTACAGAAAACGCAGGAGACCGCCATCATGAGCGGTAAGCTTGAAATCGATGGCGGCCTCGAGATAATAGCGGCAAATTCTTAAATGATATAATTATATAATTATACACGCGAAATTGATTTAGTGGGTGCAGTGAAAGTACATGTGCAAGTGCCAATGGGGGTCTGGTACGTAATGTTTATAATCGAATACTAGTGTATTTTTAAGAATTAATAAATTAAATTTATGTTAAGATGATGATGCGATGATTTTTATTCTTAGTCATTTTTGTAACTGATTTGATAAATATTTGTACTTCGAAAGGAAATTAGAAAATAAAGGTTGCGTAGCTTAAATCGAAGTTCACAAATTTCTGTCCTCTTTTTTGTTGTTGACAGTTTGGCAGAGGTTGAAAAACTGTTTCCATTGGGAATCGAACCGGGTTACTGGCTAAGAACGCCAATGCCTTAACCCGCCCCCCCCCCCACTCAGTGTTATTTAGGGTACGCGTATGCTCGTTCCCTTTTTTTGAAAGCACCCCCTATCTGAGGACTGCCAACATTTCCGAACCCCCCTTTCGCGGGCTTTTTGCGGGCTTTTCCTGCCTTGGAGACCCCGTAAATACGAAGAAAAAAATGCTCAATGTACCCCCTAAATTGCCGGACTAAATTACCCCCTCGGGCCGGACTTTGTCGCACGAAAAGTACCCCTTTACCGGACATTTTGGTAAAACGCATGCGGTCATTCCGACCCCGGAGTGTGGGGGGGGGGGTGCCTTAACCACTATACCACAGAGACGGTCCAGTAGCTTCGGCTACACACATATTCAATCGACAGACAGATTGACCAATCTCTAACCTTCATTTATTTATTCCTTTGTTCGGGGCAGGCGAGTTTTGAACAATAAAAAGCCGCTTGACTCAGTTCGATCCAAGCAAATGCTTTCAGATTCACGTATAGCTTGGAATAACTGTAAACAGATGTAAATCACCTCTACAACCGCTTTGGCGACTTTCTTGGAAAATATATATTCATGTATAATAATATAATGTGTCTGTTTATGTATTGTTTGTATATAGATGTGTTTATGGAATTCATCGAATCATGACCTAAGATCCAGTTTTATAATTAACAGATTTAAATCGATGTACTAAAAAAGATAATATTCAAAGACTGATATTTGTTGGTGAGTAAGTACTTCTCGTTCATTTTTGTTAAATAATTTTATTTAATTCTTTCTTATTTTGTATCCTTTCTATTCTTTCTGCAAAACCGTCCGTATGAATGTGTTTATGTAGGTTTGTATAAGAGGCTGGTATTATGCAAGTCTTTAACATTTTATTAATTACGTTCATTGTCCTATTTTTGTTTGTTAATGGGCCCCGATTACAAGGCAATTTTGCTTTATATTGTCTTTGTAAAATGTGTTATAAAGTTGAATAAATGCTGAATTGAATGTATCATATTGATAATTACATTTATGTTTGAGGCCTAGAATCTTGACATGCGGTATATAAAATTCTTATCTGTTGATTACATGAATATACATCCAATTTATAAGTCAGCATTTAATTTTATGCTGGGAAAGAAAGTTACCCACATTTAATTTTGCTGTTGTATTTGTAATGCTTTTTAAATGTTAATAAGCTGGATGAAGGAAAACAAAAATGTTTTGAAAGAAATGCGTACAAATGATGACAAAATACTGCCCTTTCGTGCAACTTTGTGTCATTCGAGTAGGCCTACTATTGAACCAACACAGAAATGATTGGTAATGAAAAAAGTACTAGCTGAAAGAGAGAGAGAAAGAGAGAGAGGGGGGGGGGGGGGGGGGGGGAGGGAGAGAGAGAGAGAGAGAGAGAGAGAGAGAGGGCGAGAGAGAGAGAGAGAGAAGAGGGAAAGCCAGGTGTAGTAGTCCACCTCCACAATCCTTTACTTATACCGGAAGGAGAGACCGGGGATTACAGTGATTTAATTCACTTCTTCCCTCACAGGCACACGCTAGTTTTCCGGAGGGGGAGGGGGGGGGGGGGGGGGGGCAGAAGAACAAATATTTGCATCAATACCACTCTTACATGTTTCATGCAGGCCCCGCGAAAAACAAAATCAAAATGGGGGGGGGGGGGGCTACGATCGCGTGGAGCGTAAATTGACGTGGGGTCTACGAGTAAAGCCCTAGGTGGGGTCAAGGGGGCGGACCCCAGAAGCTCAGGGGTTTGAGGCATTTAATAACGGTCAGATGAGCTTTTAATTGTTGATACTGTAACACTAGCAGATCGCCAATTGGCGTGGGCTCCAGGGGGCCGGGAGCCCCAGGAAGATCAAGTTTTTTTTAAGGCACTAGATTACGGTCAGATGAGCATCCAGGGCCTTTGGTGGAGTCCAGGGGGCATATAGCCCTCTCCCCTAAAATCGGGGGTGTTATAGTAATAGTAAACCAAAATATATTCAAATTTATTTTTAGAGTAGTATTTATTCATCTTCATTTATTCAGTCATAAATATTAATAATCATAAAATGAGTAGACCTTATTGGTGCATGGTAGACGAAATGTGTTTTTCTTTTGCAGTGGTGGCGCTTCAGCAGGAAGGGGGGTATTTAGCACTTAATATAATTAGGTGGTCTGTCGTTTTCGACAGATCACCTATTGTTTTCGTCAGAATTTTCTTTCTTTATTTATTAGGTGGTCTGTCAACGACAGATCACCTATTGTTTTCGTCAGAATTTTCTTTCTTTATTATTATTCTTTATTTTTATTTATTTCCTACACTTTTTTGTGCCTAGGATAACTCAAGTTCGGTTTCGTCAATTTCATTCAATTTTGGCACAGTCATAGGTCATTGTCATGAGACGTGGCAGGAACCTTTTCAAGGTCATCACGTCATCGTGACGTCATCCAGGCGCCATTTTGTGAAATCACGTTATCCATCATATCTTCATGATGCATAAGCAAAGGTCATTCATATCCATATCACATATATTTCAGGTCAAGGGTCAAAAGGTCATGTCATCATAGGTCACATAAAGGTCATGACGCGCGCGTACGTGCGCGTCAAAATTTAAAAATGCTCAAAATCACTTTACTATTAAAGGAGAGTACGAATTAGGTCATTTTAAGCATTTCAAAATTTTCCGTCCGTATGTGTCCACGCGCGCGTTGCGCGCGCTCACAACGCGCGGAAAAGGTCAAATTCATTTTTTTTTACATGATTTAGATTCCTCTTACCGTAAATGATAATTTACATTAATTTCAGTCACTCTTGACCTTTTATAAGGCCGTGAGCGCGCGTCAAAGTTCAAAATCCGCGCGGGCTGCTATGGGCAATATAATGCAAATTTGATCAAAAACATCCCATTTTAAAAATCAAAATAGCTCTTCAGAAAGTCAATTGACCCCAACTTTTATATCATGGTTGGAAAAAGCATGAGTTGGAGATATGATTTCATGTGTCATTTGACCCTCAATTAACTCATGACGTCATCATAATGGCCTCCAAACTCATAATTTCAATTTGCATATTATGCCGTCAGAATATTTTTGGAAAATTGATTGTATCTTTGTAAATGTTGATCAATTTTCTTCCAAATTTTGATATGTTCTACCCGAGAATATTCTCTACAAATGCGGTTATCACGATTGTTCATTTTGACAAAGGTATCATGGCGTATTTTTGCGATTAAAGGAGGCATGTCAATTTTTCACTTTTTGCGTGTATTCTCTATGGGACATGACTTTTTCTCAAAACTGGATTCTACATTCTCGTCTTTCGCGAGCAATATCTCCGTCGTTTTTTTTGTTGTTA